AGAGAGGAAACAGATGTGTTCCAGGCTAACAGAGTTTGACAGGGAGCTTCACATTATAGGAGAAATAAAGGCCCCGATCCCTTCATGATTTCTGTTCCTGGTGCCTTGCCTAATCCTCAGTGATTGTGCCCTTTCCCACCCCTGTGCTTCATTCTCAGCACTCATAGGAAACTGCTTCTGCCCTTCCACCCCTTTTCTCTTTGTATTGTGACTATCGTTACATGTTATATCCTTCACAAATGTAAAGGAGGGTAGGAGAGCTTTATTATCAAAACCTTACAGGGATTGATTTCAACTCTTCACATTGTAAGTATCCTCTCTCGCTCTGGAGATTCTAGAAGGGGGTGGAGCAGTGGAATTTTCTGCACCAGATAAGTAAGCACCCTATTCCCTGTGACTTTCATAGGGCCTAAGGGCTGGCACATGTATTAGATGGGTGAGTAGATGGACAAATGACCACTTAAGAGCCCATTGGTCTAAAGCCACAAGTCTTTGAGATGGGTCTCTGTGCAATAACCTGGCATTTCTGAAGCATGTTCCAGGGTATAGAGCACTTTCCGTTCCATTTATGCATTTAATGGTCTTATGGAGGGGGCTGGAAGTGGCCTGCTCAGAAGTCCATGTTTACAGTAAGTGCAGGATTTTCCTACTGTATTCTTGCCAGTGTCAAATAAGGCCATTTGAGGATGCCTCCTTCTACAGGGACCATATCAGAATCAGCCGGGAACTTGTTAGACATGCAAATTCTCAGGCCCCATCTTGAACCAATTCAGTTTCTTACTCTGGTGCCCAGGCCCCAAAATTTCAGTTTTTGTTGTTGTGTTTTGTTTCTACAAGCCCTTTGGGTGATTCTGATGCGATGCTAAAGTTTGACAACCATTGGCCCATTCTATTTCCAACTGATTCATGTTGCTCAGTTCATGGCCTCATTTATTGGAGGTGGAGTCGGGGGATGGGGAGGGGGGGCGGTTAGAGCCCTTCCTTAGGCTTTAGTGGGCAGGGAAAATTCTCCGGAGGGTGAAACATTGAAGGGAGGGTTAACATGTCCCAGGAGCCCTTAACGGAAAACAGGCTACACCATCCATGAAGTGTGGGATTTGTAAGCCAGCCTATAGAGCGGTTGGCAATTCAAAATATTCACTGAGCATTCACGTGGGGAAGGCCACCACCACCCAGGGATTGCCTTGGGGAGGAACCCCGCCCTGTGAAAACCGGGGGCTGTGCTCACCCAGGACTCTCAGGCTGGGAGCCTGCTTCAAGGAGCCACCAGCACCCACAGAGCGGCCCGATCAGGGGTTCGCAGAAGGAAAACTACAAGTCCCAGCATGCCCCACTCCACCCTTTCAGGGACAACAGGCCGCGCCCCAGAGTTCCTCGCGCACAGGTGGCTGCC